AAAAAAAAAAAAAAAAAAAAAAAAAAAACACAATGGTAACAAACTCTTCTGGTGTCATCCTTCATGCAGATGTTCTGACAACAAAAGCCACAGCCAAAAGCCTCGAGACAAATTATAATCAACCTCTCTTGCCCTAGGATTCCCCTTAATCTTAATTCTGGAGAATTCTTTACGGGAGCAGTTTGTTTCGTTTACAGCCGATGCAACCCCAGTGCATAAAGCGAGCTCCACATGATTGGATGAGTTTGGTGTGGAACAACTCAAGATCTCTGATCTCAAACCAGTGAAACAGAACGCAGATCGTGAGCCATCATCAGTGATCTCTGACCTCACAAATGTTCTTCTGGACTAAAATCCCAAAGACATACACAACGTTATTTAGAAAGGCGGCAAAAAACAAGGAGGGTGTTGGTTCAACACATTAGATTAGAGAATTAACACACATGATCATAGCGATCATTCACTTGCCCACTCCAGTCCTGGACATGCTTTGTTAAATCCTCCGTCTCCACTTTGCAACAGCAATGTGTTCAATTGCTGCTCTTAGTCTTTGTTCAAATAAAATGCTTCTTCATTGTGGCCAATGAGCTTGTGCCAAGACTTTTTATTTGAATACAGTGATCCCTCGCTATTTCGCGGTTTGTTTATCGCAGCTTCAGTGCATCGCGGATTTTTTCAAACATATTCATAAAAATAAATAAATAAAAATATTTTTTCATATACATGGAGTACAGTACTGTATATGTTGCTCTATGTGACTCGCTGTTGTTTTGCTGACTTTCGCAGCTTCTCGTGGACCGTTTGCGGACTTTAAAAAAATAAAAAAATAAATTATGTTAATTGGTTGCTACTTCGCGGATTTTTGTTTAGCGCGGGTGGTTTTGGTCCCCATTAACCGCGATAAACGAGGGATTACTGTATATGAATTAGAGATGTAAATACAGATAGGGTGATATATACAACATAAAAGCAGGAGTGCAGTTGCTTTAGTTCCACTAGATAGCCCATCGTGGTTTAGGTGCATGCTACACGTTTTTCATTTGAGTTGTGGTTTCGAATCCAACTTGCAAATTATTTACGGTTCTTATTTTCATCAGTAGCAGTCGCTCATGTTGCTTTCCATCCATAAAAATGTCCACCAAAATGTCTAGGCAAGGTTGCTTCATAGTCGTTAGGATTTAGATTCGAAATGATAGTAAATCAGAAGTCATATTTAGAACGTGCAGTTAAAGTATGAAAAAGCGTTCATTGCTTCCATTGTTGACACTTGTTAGGGTTTCTTTCTTTTTTTTTCTTTTTTTTTTTAAACACATTCTTACTCATGAAATCAGAGCTGTTTCCCACACTTTTTTTTTTTTTTTTTTTTTTTTTTAAACACATTCATACTCATGAAATCAGAGCTGTTTCCCACGAGCAAGTGGTGTGGAAAAGTCAATCCCCCAACCTGGTTACAATAAAGTATAGCTGTGGCCAACAGAGAAGGCACAGCACCCTGGAAGAGGGCCGAAAACACCGGACTGCCTCCCTGCCATGATCTGGAATGCGGAGGTTCCGCTGAGTGTCCAGAAATAACATTGGCCCTCTCCTTCCTCACAGCTTCCTTGCTGCGTGTGCGCACAACATTTTCCAAGAAGGCTTTGAAACAATTTCTTTTGACCTCATCCTACCTCCCCAGCAAGAGGCGGACAACATGTCAATTGTGGTTGGGAAAGTGATGAAAAAGGATGCTAACCGAGGGAGCGGTGGGGGGGGAGCAGTTAGCCGGGCTGTACTTGAATATGAGCAGTGACAGCGCGGCCCAGAGGACGGCGTGCTCAAACGCACACAACAAAGCGGCTGAGCACTTGCGGGGAGGCGGCGCTCAGCGCTCGCAGCAGGAACAAATGATTGGAGTCTGTCAGGGAACTCAGCCGAGGACACGTTTGATCTCAACTTCCTTCTTCTTTTTGAGATGGGAAGTGGGAGGGAAAATAGCCGCAGGCGCAAGTCCAAGCAGAGGTGGCGACGCACTAAGATCTCACTAATGGTGCTGCCGTTTATCGATGACCGAACTTACTTGTTAAAAAAAACTCACCGCTGCCTGATCTAAAAGCTTCATCAACACTTTCCCATCTCTCGGAACGTTCAGGAAATTCCAATTATTGTTATTCCAACATTCAACCTGCTCCTGAAGGCCCGCGCCGCGACTCATCTGACCCGAATAATTCATTAGCTGACAAAAGTGAGTTTTGACGAGATGAGTTGTATTAAAAGAATTTCAATCAGAATTTTTGGCAAGCGCAAACTCACGGTGGGCAGAGAGAGGCAGCCTGCTTCAATTCTCTCCCGTCTCTCGGTTCTCCACTGATCCTCTTCATGAAGAGCACACACAAACACACACAACCTTACTATTTCTATGAGATAGATTTCTTGAGGAGAGAGGTACAACACAAGGCCACTGGAGATCCAGATAACTTGACTCAATTTGATTTAAAGAGCACTTTAAAAATAACCGTATTGAAACCATGAACACAGATCATTTGTAGTTTAGGAACTGTTACAATGGGTTTTACAAATGAATAGTGAGGGTGCTCGTCTAAAGTGCACTTGGATATCATTGCATAGTCCATCTCTTCTCAGCTTCCACTCAGACTTCTGGACCTGCAGGAGCAGCTGCGCAGCTGACTTGAGGTGCCAAACAGTGGTGTAGGTCTGGAGACCACGTAGTGATTTAACCCTTTCAGGGACAGCGGTTACTACAGTGGCCATCTTATCATGTTATCGGATTATAGGGTGCATGAAAGGGTTCAAGACAAATGAAATATTTTTCTATTGCTTTTGGCTTGTCCCATTAGGAGTCGCCACAGCGCGTCATCCGTTTCCATCTACAGTGAGTCCGTATTTTGAATTCTTCTCTCGGTCTCCCTCTCGGTCTCTTGCCTCGCATCTCCGTCCTCATCAACTTTCGACCAATATACGTAGTACCGCTCCTATCGTTGTGCCCAAAACATCGGTGTCTGCTCTCTCTAACATTGTCCCCCAAATTTCTAACCTTGGCTGTCCCTCTGATCAGATCATTTCTGATCCTATCTAACCTGGTCGCGCCTACTCTTCCGGTGCCACTGTCTCCATTCCATGCATCATGACCGGCCTCACCAGTGTCTTATAACAATGGATATAACGAACTCGGAAGTGCACAGGCAACCAGCAAAGGGTGGCGAAAAAAGAAGTCATGTGCTCCCTCTTACGTGTTCCAGTTCAGTGGCAAGCAGAAGCATTTTGTTCATATTACACGATCCACATTTCATTTTGTGCGACGAAAGAAGAGTGAATAGAATGTGCATCATAATTAGGCAGTGGGCATGAAGGTGTAAAATTAGGATTGTTCATCTTTCAGTCTGGGCACTACTGAGTTTCTTTGCAGTTGAGAACATTCATTTCGAGGTGGTTATGGAAATGAGGCACTGGGGACAGTTTTTTTCTTTCTTCCAAGTTTCTCATCTTCCATTGATCTCACATTGGCTGAAGTGGGGCAGTGCCAGCAAAGCCAGTAGAGCCACTGCGACATGAAAGGAGATTCTCTGCCCACTCAAAGGATGGACAACACCATCACGTGTCACCCGGCTCGCAATCATGACCACATTACAAACGCGTTGGGCTAACAATGCTGGATGGCAGCAGTGCGCTCCAGCCACCCGTGTCAGCGCGGATGATGGATAGTTTTCGGCACACACGGACGCCTCATTCGTTTCTATTAGAGCAATATGGAAATGACCTCACGGGTTCAGTTACTGATCCATCTCACTTGATCGCATGATGAGCGGATCAGAAAGCAGTTCTGGATCTAAGTTCCTCCAATTATTGATCAGAAAGCAAAATGTGAGGCAGATGCTCGTATGCGGGTCGGTGTCTGATAAATCAGAGCGAGTGGCTAAACGACGTCTGTCAGAGATTATCTAAATCACCTTGCACTCTTTGCATGGTGGCCCCTGAGGGACACATGCATTATTGAAGCCGCTCTCATTGCAAGAGGGCCACCTCCCCATGTCAGCGCCTACTCAATATTAACGAAGGACCTCGGAATAATGTTCATCCTCGGAAACCGGGGTCGGTGCAGATAAGCCTGAAGGGATAAAAACACCCGGATGGCTCTTTATGGACCCGCAGCCTCCGGTATTAGGAACATGTTTAACTTCTAGCATCTGAACCTGACAACTAAGAAAGTTTACCAAACAGCAGCACTTTTGAACTCGGATGAGGAGGAATGGAGCGCTGCGTGGCGAGTGCTGGCACCCCGGTGTCACCAGCTAAGACCGCTTGCATATTCATGATGTGTCGCGATGCAAAATAACATCTGCTTTACAAAAGCAGGCCATATGTTTGGCCAACTTTGTCGTATTAGCGGCTCATCACGGCGAAAACAACCGAACGGCGAGGTTTCAACTCCTAGAGGCACACTAATGCAAAAAAAAAAAAAACAACTCAAGCCGGTGACTTTAACAGCGCTTACTGTACCCATCTGCTGTTTAATATCAGTACAAATTAGAATGGTAACAAGCTGAGGAAAGACACTTGCGAAGAATCACCAGGCAAGATGTGAGGCTAAGGTCAAGCATGGTGACACTGGGGTTGGACGGTAGCATGGATTCGACACCAAATGGTGTGTGCATCCAAAACGTCAACACCAAAATTGTGGCTCTTCACACTCTGGGTGCGGTGCCGACTCGGAGCCGCATGTTTTCTGGGGACAACTTGTCTGCATTTCAGGCTGCAGCTGAGGGAGGTCGGCGCCGCCACCTTCCCTCTTACCACCTTCAGGTCTCTCCTCTCGGGGCTCAGAGGATGGAGGTCCTCATTAAAACCTTCCACGGCTGTGAACTCTCATCCTTATCAGCCAGTCCACCTTCTGGAGGTTTTAAAACGGCAAAGGTGTGCTGGGACCGACGGGTGCTGGGTTCTGATGAGAGCGACTGCCAAATTACACTTTTCATACAATTTAAGATGCTTAATTACTGCTAGAAAATACACACCCACTTTTTTTTTTCAAACCCTTTTCAGCTCAGGACCCAAACGTGATAAAATACATTATATATTGCCATAACATGAATATATACATTATTGAAAAGGGACATAATGGGCATGAATTGATTGACAACAAACCCTATGCCAAGGCATTGTGTGCTTGCTCGATGATCAATAAAACAGCTTAGAGCATTTTACTCAATTGGCAACCCAATAAAAACTGACCTGTGCCTATTCTGGTTCCTAAAACTAAGATTGGACAAGCCTCGATCACCAAATTCCCTCAGTCAATAGCAGTGAGTAATATAAATCATGTTTAGAGGCTTGTTGAAACACTTTTTCAGCTTTGCGACACAAACGCGGAGATCACAGGGGCATCAAATATTCAGCACCTGATGCAAGGCTGATGTTTCTCAAAGTTGGATTCTTCTTCCTCCTCTTTGGCACTCACAGACATTCCGTTCTCTGTGTGGAGCTTAGCAATTAGGGGCGGTGTGAATGGGGGTTGAGTGGGGGTGTTTCAGACCCCTCACAGACTTCTTGTGTTTGGACTTAAGAGTCAGTCAATGCCGCCTGCTCCTCTGATGTAAGACTTCAACTGACGTTTCTCTTGGCTGGTCCAACAAAATGAGCAGAACCATGCGAGGCGCCCTGGTTGCCACATTACAGAATATTTATGCTCAGCACAGCTCGGCCTGTCAGAGGCTAATCATGACAAGGATGATGGATGGTGTTTATTTTCTGATGATGGAACGCAACCCTCGCCTGATGAAAATTGGAAGAAAAAGGACAGATCACGCCGACTGACTTATTAAATTATCAAACCATCATTTGCATTGATGGCAGCTGAGACATGGCTCATGGGGGGAGGCGGGTGACAGAGGCCAGTCCACCTTGGACATCTCCCGCTGTCCTTGGCCCCCCACAATCTTCTCCACACCGTGAATGACGGCTATAAGATGGAGAAACTGTAAGTAAGGCTTCGGAGATGTGAAGGAGCGGCGAGTTAAGTTGCACAGACTACTCACGGATTTTTTTTCCCACAACGATGTTTAGAGCGTGTTGCGAATCGTGTTTTCGTTTGAGGAGGAAGAGCCGCTTCGCTTGCACCATGAGATGAGCACACCGAATCGAGTTAGTCCTTCACCTCAATTGATGGAGACTGTCTTCTCTTTCCAACAGTAAAGGGGGGGAAAAAAGGTAGTTGTTGTTAACTTAAATTCCCAAGTGAGCAGGTGACACCGTGGACGAGCCTGCCAAGAGGAGCCTTGGGAGGTCTGTTGGCTCGTAAGCGAGCACCTCTCACCGCGACGACCGGGTGGGATATATTCTACACTCCGCTCCCGCAGCATTTGGGAGCGGAGACAATGCCATGACTTTTCATGATTTTGAAGCCTCATTTTACATATGTGCCAATTTTTCAAATCACTCACATTTAAGATAAGATCAGAAAACCTTTGTTTGTCTCACAATGGAGAAATTCGCAATTTACAGCAGCAAAATTCGGAGGGAAGAAAGTAGAAAAACATGATTTGCATGCACAAAATAAATTTAAAAAAATAAACTGTCCACAGTACACAATGCAATATAAAATATAAAATATAAGAAATAAGCATATATGCAAATGCATATATGCTGCATAAGGTGACTGTGCAATTTAAAATGGGTGAGTGGGGGTGAGTCCAGGTTTTCAGGTGCGTCTATTCAGTAGCCTGACAGCAATCGGTTTGGTCTGGTTGCTTACAACAGGGGTCCCCAACCGCCGGTCCACGGACCGGTACCGGTCCGCCGGGCATTTCACGTGACCGATTACTTCAAAACAAAACGCCAGAGCAAAATGAGTAAAAAAAACTGCTGGAGATCGCAAATGACGGCGGCCTTAAAAGTACGTTCGAGACAACTGGATTAAAGTTATGTCTGAATACTCTGAGATCGCCACAATAGCACTTTTGCTATTTCCGACATCCTACCTGTGTGAGGCGGGGGGTTTCTGCAGCAACGGCGACGAAAACAAAATTACGAAGTAGACTGGACATAAACCACACACTTGAGGTGTCATTGTCTCCTATTACCCCGAGATGGGACCGTCTGGTTGCAGAAAATCAAGCTCGGTGCCGTGGTGAGTCGTCATTTTCATGCACTTTGAATTTGCGTTGTATCGTATTTTGAAGGCATTAAACATTGCCATAGCGATCGGAGTGTTGCGGCCAGATTAGACGGTCCTTGTGTTTATGATTATATTTCGAAAACGCCACAGTTTTCATGCAGCTGATACCATATTATTTTGTTGTATTATTTCCGCCACACCTTAAATGCCGGTCCCTGAAAATATTGTCTGACATAAACCGGTCCGTGGGGCAAAAAAGGTTGGGGGCCCCTGGCTTACAACACTCTCAAGAACGTTTCTTTGCACTTTACAGGGACTTTCATATATAGTATTTAAAGACAGTCTGAGACAAGTTTGAAAACTTCTAGAATGGGAAAAAAATACATGTAAGATAAAGGTGGGGTTGTTTACAAAGAAAACATCAGTGTGTGTAGTCGGCCTCAAAGGTAAACAAAGCAGGAGTGATAAAGTCAAGTCAGACAACATGGATCAGATGGCGTGAAGATAGGAGTGGATGTTGGAACGGAACTTAGCTCCACAGCATCGGAGCCACGGTAATGAATAATGAAGGCGTCTGTCCTCCCAGGTGGACGCAGCGTGTCAAGCAGACAGGTGTCAGTGTAGCTCGGGGACGACAGTCAATGAAGTTGTCTCCATATTAAGCAGACAGTTGGGGCCTCTTAAACGGGCACGGTGCGAGAACCTGCGGGGTCTGCATCTCATCAGCTCGGCCCGGGGCAAGTGGCGGCGACAGGGGGTACGGAAGTGTTTGGGCCTCTTCACTTCACTTCTTCCTATCCGCATACTGGAAGTGACCCTGCGCCTCTGCCAGCCTCGCCAATGGTTTCTCCCATCATGCACCGGGGCCGCACGCAGCTCCCATGAGCCTCGCCTCACTCCCTGCCATCTGCCGTGATTTATAGAAAAGGGCCGATGATTTATGGGCCAGTCATCTCACAATGAAGTTGTTCTCTTTCATTTGCGTGACCTGCCGACCTACGCGCCACTCGCTGCCAGGTTGGGGAACGGCACGCTAATCATGCACTATGAGGGCTTTTAAACAAGCTGGGGAGGGAGGGGGGCTGCAAATAGACCCTTTAATGAAATTAATTTTTAACGGCGTGCACGTGCTGATGAAAGACAGACCGAGGATGTATCCAGCACACAAACAGGCCTCTAGCCACCAAGAAAACGCTCGGACGCACAGGTTTTAAGATGACTCTGTGCAGTTGCCAATCGGACCTGGATCACGTCCTGTGTGAGCATAGATCAGACGCTGTCTCTCTTTCTGGGGTATCTTGAACAGAAACAATCACCCATCCAACAATGAAACATATCTTAAACAAGTCTTGGTCATCTTTAATGTAATGAAACACACAAGATCCAGAGAACATTTCATGATCAAAGTAGCAGCTCTGCTTCATATGGTACATGGGAAGCTCATCGCCACCTCCATGCATAATCTATTGCATTTTGTCCCATCACAGTCAACCTATTCGGGGACCTAAGAAGTCACATGTACATCAAGGGTGGGAAAATGTTGGTGCGTCATTTATTAAAACAAATCGATTCGGTTAGATGGGGCATGTCATTCATATTCAGTTTGGGGTATTAATCATTACAATAAAAAACGAATTAATTCTCTGAACTGCTTGTCCTAGTTTATAAAAACTGAATATAATCAATGAAGAGATTAAATACGTTTTAATTAACCATTTGGGTGGGAAACAGCTACAATAATGCAACAAATATTATTCTTGAAATTGTAAATGGTAAATGCGCGGTGGACCAGATTACGGAAAGGAGTCGACCCCATGTGTTGTCTTGGACCTAGATTTTGTCCACCCGTGGTCGACGTTATTAGCCTAACGTGATATTTCTGTCCTCCCTTCAACAATCAACATTCCTCGTAAATGTGTTAACATACCTCCACCACTAACATGATACTGTATTGAATTGGAGGATGTCGTGTTATGATGAGTGATTATTATTCAGTAACAGGAAGACTTACGTGAGCTCAACACACCGTAGAAGCGAACTGGACGCAAACATGAGCTCGAGTCCGTCTATGTCCGTTTGATTGCAAATGAGGCAACAGAGTTCAGAATGAGTTTGCAACCACCACCTGGTTCCAGCTGTTGCAGTGCATCATGGGACTTGAAGTTTTAGTGGGTGCGGTGGCAAAGCAAAGTTTCTTTTTCTTTCATTTTTTTTAGGAGTGTTGAGCATTACGGACGACAACGTACAACCTCACTCAATCAGCTCGAAATTGTTTGTCCTGAGGTCACGATATACAGCTTCCGAAGTTTCAGAGTTAACAAGAGTGGCTAAATTAGTAGATGTCTCATTTAACGTGAACTTGAATGTCGATACCGTAATATGCCCAAATTTAGATGTGCGTTAATATTTGGTGCAACACAGAGTTCAGAGCGCCATCTGCTGATGAAACAGAGTCAATAGTTAGCCGTCAACCACTGATGACTGTCTTCAAAAGAACAAGTCAATGTAAAACAGTGACAATGTCTGATCGTTTATTTAAGTCTCAATTGCGATGTAACATAAATACTTGCAGTCAGTCTGCGGAATATAAATATAGTATTGCGTGACGGGCAGATGCATGCGTGTAGGTGCATTCAAAGGAATTTATCGGCGACATACTAACAACCTCTTCTTCACTCGCAAATTCACTTGCTCCAAGACGGTCTTAGTTCGACTGAAGTAAAAGAGGTGTCTAACTAAAGGCACGCGTATAAGACAACAGTGAACATGGAACATTCAACGTAACAGCCCTGCTTCTGACAAGGCCATGGAAAATGGGGAGGCCCGTCTCTTAAAAGGGTGTGATGACAGAGGCATATCGGAGGCACATTTGTACAAAACGATTGCCGTGGGATTATTTCTCACTAAACATTAACACCAAAATATCATTCAAAACAGCAGTTTCGGTCTTCATTCTCAGGATGAGTGGTTCAGTTTCACATTTCTTTTCAGCCAAACACAGGAATACAATCTTTGTGAGGAATTACAGGAGGTGATTGGTCATGGGTACCACAATGACCTTCACAGGCTGGCTCAAGGTCATTGTCACCATCAGCAAGCTTTTCCACTGAAGCTGCTGATTGTCTACCTTGCGTTTTTCAAAGTCAAAGTTCCATTTAGAACATCTTTGAAAAGCATCTAAAAGAATGTTTGCAAAATGTTCAGCCTTTAGTGGAATTTAGAGCATTGAGCTTATATTTTTGGGAATATGGAAAACATCTAGAGTAGTCTTAATTTCGTGGTTCAACAGGAACTGGACTGTTCTGTTAAGGACCAAGCTCAGTATGGAGCTCCAAGAGATCGTCTAATTCTAAATAGTGAAATAGAACGACTTCATTTATGATCAACACAAACAAATTTTTTAGGTGCGTTGTCTAATTTTCTCTTCCAGAAAGCAAAATTAAAAGGACATGTCATGTGCGTATAGATTTCTCACTGGAAAATCTAGAAGACACTCAAGTGTCCTGTTTAGTTATATGCAGAAGAACAGAATGAAGCTCCTTCAAAATATTGTGCTTCACTTCATTTAAACCAAGATGTGTACTGTTGGGCTCAAAAGTCCGTTAAGCTTCAAATCATTGGCCAGCCAAGTGATCCTCTGCTGCAATGTGGCAAATCAGCTTTGAGAAGACACGCCTTCCTCCCAGCGTCCAGGAAGTCAGTGGATGCTTTCAGCTTTTCGGGACTTTGTTGTGGCCCGTGGCCTCTCATCTTCTGCTTCCATCGTATCGCATGAAAAAAAGCTCACTGACTTTTTGCTGTAAATTAGCAGGATGCAAAAAAAAAAAAAAAAAGCCAGGAAGTGTATCAAAATGGTGCTGACAGAGTGAACGTGTTAAAAGTTAAAAGCAGGTTAGTAGGAAGAGATGTCGGAAGAGCTGCTGCTATTGCTGGTGGAAGTTTGGGCCCTCTTGATGTACAGGTTGAGCAGCTTCATCTGTCAAAGGAAACACCAGCACATTTAGGAACATGAATGAGACCCGCTCATTTGCTGCCATCGGCCTTCTTTCATATAAGTCAAGCAGTGGCGCACTTTGTGTTGGTTGTTAACTGTGTCTCAGTTGGAGGTTGGAGGTGAAGCTTGCATTCTGATCCACCTCACCTTTTTCTGTTTATGGTTGAAGCTGTTTTTCATTCGATACAACCACTGTCTGAGGCCCCATCCGAACATGAGCTGCGGGGCCAGCCCATGCTTTTGGGCATTCACAAATCATTGCAACAGTGGTACACTCTATTCTGGCAGCATTTTTCACATGACCCAATTGTCAGCATGACACATCTTTACCCATTTAGAGTGATTCAGTTACCAGTATGGTCAAGGAACAAATTCAACTCGTATCTGAAGGGACACGGGACTGTAAAAGCCTGACAGCGATGGTGGACGTAAGTACCTTGCTGCCAGTGAGCTGAGACAGGTAGGGCTTGAGCTCCTCGCCAATCACAGCATAGACGGCCACGAGGCAGAAGACGCTGGCCTTCCTCACGCTGCTTTCCGTGTCGTCGTAGCCCTGCGCCAGCCAAACGCATCCATTTGACGGAAAGAATATGGCCAAAAACCTGGAACCCAATGACGAATTTCTGCTTCACCTGCAGTAAACCCGGAATGATGTCATGCAGCAGCTGATGCAGCGGCTCCTTTGTGACGCGTTCGATGGCCCTCGTCTGCATTTTGATGGCGGCCAAGTTGATTGGATAGTCGGCCGTCTGCACGATGGGACAAAGGACCTTGATGCACTGCTCAGGGTGGATTGAGCTCGCCAATGTGGAAGCAGCCTCCTCTGCAGCACGCACCACCTTCGACGGGTGGATGCGACTGTTAGTCCGACTCAAATTAGGCGCTATTTCAACATATCCGCCACACACGGCGCTCACCTCCTTGTGGGAGTCTTTATGAGCTTCCAGTGTCTTCATTATGGTGAGTTCGGCATAGTTCTTGAAGCGGGCCGGTTGGTTTCTCAGGATCTCCTTCAGGACTCTCAAGGCCAGTGCTCGGATCATGTACTGAGGAGAGTCCGAAAGTAAATGGACCTAAAATAAAGGCTCAACTTGGCGTGCATTATGCCTACAGTAGCAGGGGGGTGCAAACTTTTCAGAAAATCTCCATTGAATGTCAGAAATGTTCCAAATTGGAAACTTGAGTTGAACGGAAACCTATCGGATCCGATCCACTCCACTTTATTTTAGAGCATTTTATTGAAACAGTGTGATGGTCTACTGCCATCTAGTGGTGAAGTCATAGAATGCAGCAACCTAAGTGCATTTTGGAGCACATGTATATAATTCAAATTTTGTTCAGTATTGTTTTAAATCAGGGCCAGTCCGGTTCTGGCAGGATCACTGCAACTTGGCTCGCGGTGGTCCATAAGGGCCACCACCCAAAACATCTTACTGTTGGACCCTGTGTGTTATTTTCAACACTGCGTTTTACAGCAAAAATGTGAAATCAGGGCATTTAAGGGACCACTGTATTGTTTCAAATCCAGTTGCTTTTGTCAGGATTATGATAAAACAACTACATTTAAATTCGCTTTTAAGAGTTGACCTTTGATTTTGTTTCTTTTTTTTAATTATTGGTGGTATAATCCCAAAAATCCCAGTGGAAAATTTCTAACTTTAAAAATTGGCAGAATCTGGTAACCCTAATCACAGACTACTTACGTCTTTGTCTCCCAGCATCTCCAGGAGAAGCAGCAACATGGTCTTGAAGTGCTCGTCCCAAACCACGTGCGTATCCTCTCGTGCCACCTTGAGCAGCTCCAGCAGGGTGGCTCGGCGCTCCTCAGGGGGCCGCTCCTCAGTGCCACACTCGCCTGCTGGGCCTTGAGACAACCCCTTCAGCAGCTCCCCCACCAGGTGCTCGGTCACTCCTACAAGAAATGATGCAATTCAGCCCAATTCTGTATGTGACCAAGCAATGAGTTGACAATTTGCATTTACCTGGGACATTTCTGGGGTTCTGGATCTTGTTTTCCACACATTCGTGCTGGCGTCCTGCAGGTGACATCATAAAATGAATCAATCAAGCAATGACTTCCGACCACTAAATGATGGAAAAGATTATCAAGTGGTCCAAAAATTATTTCTTTACTACAAATAATGTATCCTTGTGCATTTATCTAAGACAGTGACGTGGAACAACGAAACACTCTTCCACGAGAGAGCAGAAGGGTCAATTGACCTGAATTTACCTGTTGCAATGCTATCGAATAGATTTAGGTTGAACTAAATGGTCCCACATTTCATACTTAGTGTTATTTATGAGTATATTGAGATGAGATCATCATAATCTCAGTACACGTACAGTACTTTGTGACATTCGAGATTGGTGGTGTACCGTGAGGTTTTTCCTCACGTAAAATACCATATGTAGAAAACAGTGATGAAGAGCGCCTCTCGCTATCACACTCATGTGAGACGCACCATTGAGCCGCAGCTCCATGACATCATAGTTGTGCGGGTTGTAGTCTCTGAAACGCTGCAGAGTGAATGAGCGTGGCGAAGGTGTGTTCAGTAATGAAGTCTTGTTGTCCAGGGCTGTTCGCCCGGCCTCCACCACATCACTGTAAAGCCTAAGGTCAGAGGGTGAAGGAGAACCACCTTCAACCTGTAAAATACAGAATAGCATTGGGGGGCTTGTCATCAGTGAAGGTGAACTACATGAATGGTCAGCTCCAGTCACCATGGTCTCCCGTGCTCCATCTCGCTTGTATGGCTCCATCGGCTCTTCTTGGCTACGGAAGCTGAAGTTCTGGATTGCCTCAGTGACGCCACGCAGAGAGCTGTAGATCTCCTCAGAGTTCGGGTTCTCACTGTCATACTCCAGCATGCTGCAGAGGATGCATATCAATGAATGACAACCACTTGTGTTCATTCATAAACGTTGCAAGTGCAAAGCCATGTATCTGAACAAAAGAGTTTGACAAAGACAACCATTTAACTTGTAAGAAAGCATGCAAAAATGTTTGAAGTAACCCTCTGACCCATCGCTTGTGTCGAGAAATGCGATATCTAGTCTTGCTGGTATCCTTCACTTTGCATTTCTGAACATGGAGCTGAAGTGCCTCACCAAAAAGTTCCAGTTTTGTCTCGTCTGGGAATAAGACATTCTTGGTGGTTTGTGAACAAGTTTTTATGGTTCATTTCCAACAATGGTGTCTTCCTTGAGGTCTACTTTGGCTCAATCAACGATGGATGGGATGATCTGACACTGCTTGACGTTGAAGTTCATCTTTAATTTCTTTTGTTCTGGGCTCTTTTGTTACCATTTGTATTATTAGTATCTTAATTTTTTTTTTTTTGCTTGCTCTTGTCCATCTTTCGTGTGATAAACACCATGTCACCAAACAGCACAGTAACTACTTGTCACTCTTTAAATAGGCCGATTGACTGATTACAAATTTAAAGACACCTGTGATGCTATATAGAGGACACGTCTTGAGTGAGCATTGGATCTTTTCTAGAGTTATGGTTCAAGTTAGTTTTTTTAAAAATATAATTCAGTCAAACTGCAATTCAAAAGCAATGCCTCATTGGTCTCATTGGTTAATTTTCATTACATTTTTATTTGTTTTTACTTTTGTCAGTCAGGTTATTTCTGTGACCACTGTGGATTTTTCTTTCCAATTATTTTGTCCGCATGTGTGGATCAAATCCAAATCCCAAATAGGATTTGTGTGAGAGGCAATAAAATCCCGACGAGGATATACAATGGGAAAAATGTACCTGGGAGAGAGCCCCCCATGTGAGTAGGCGGTTGGAGATGTCAGTGGGCTACTGCGACTGCTAGAGTGGCGCGGAGTTGTTCGACCCGCCGAGCTACCGGGAGATGCCTGCGCAACACACACGTCCCAAGAAAGTTTAAGCGTCCATTTGTGTGGGGGTTCGGGTGTGCGCGCTTAAGTGCGTTACCGTGCTGATGCCACTGCTGCTCCTCAGGTGGTTGTGCAACAGCTTGCTGGTCCCATCTTGGAAGGTTTTGGGCAAAGCACCAAGTAGCATGGTGAACTCTGGTGTGTTGAGCTCAAACAGTGCAATGAGCACCACCTGGGCCGCCTGCATGCAAGTACGGATAAACACATTTGTTGAAAAAACCCGTCTCACTATTTTATGCCACTTTGTGGGGTCTCGGTGATGGATAATTACACAAAATTCAAAGTCGGTATGAAAATATTTGCTGAAACAGAGCTAGGGGCCGGGTTGCAAAAATTCTGAACATTTTCGAAGTTGGAAACATTTAATGGAAATTAACAGGAATTTATGGGGATGAATAGGAATTGACCAAGAATTTACAGAATAGAAGGTTGGATTTTCATAGGTAAATTAAATATATTTGGGGAAACACAGTTGAGCAGAATGCAGTCTAAAAGAAGCAGATTTCATGCAAGAACAGTTGAATAGCGATACAATGCTATTTCTCAATCAAATCCACATCGCATGATGCATACATTAGGGCAATTGAGAATACACTTCCTACATGCACTCGACTTTCCTCCATTAAATGCATAGAAAATGTCTTCAAACTAAACCAGGCGTCACCAATGTAGCTCCCAAGCACCACTTTAGTAGCCCGCCGGCCTGTTCTAAAAATAGGTCACCAGTGATGCCGTTTTGTGATTTTCTGGAAATATTGTAGTACTGATCATTTGAAAACGTAAACAAGGCAAGATCCGAGGAGAACCACTGACCTGCAGTGCTTCATTACATTCAATAGGCTCTCGTAACATTGGACAGCGTCTTATGATATGATTGTTGCCCACTCGGCATCCATTCCAGCCTGATTATCCTGGAAGGGGGAATACCCGTGAGTATCTGTGATTCCTTTTTAAGGTTGCTTCTTGGATCCCCTAAGAGGGATTTCTCAGTGTTCTTCCTTGCCCAGATAGGAGATCGAAATCAGGAGATGTTGGTTTTGGTGAACTATGCATCTGTGATAGCCCTCTTTCGTAATTAAGAGCGATAGAAGTGAACTTGACACAACATGTTGATATTTATACTTGAATAAAATTCACAGTCAAATTTCCCATTAATCAGAAACTTTTGCAACCCTAACTAGGAGCAGAGCTACAGTTGTAATCATGTCACAGCTATTTGCTTGATGATTCTACCTGCTTGCAACTCTCCTCCAGGTTGCCCTCTCCAGGTAGAGAGGCCACAGTGCTGGCGCGACCTGACAAATCTTCCCAGTTATGAAGGGTCTGGGAGTTTGGTGAATGAAAAAAATGCTGATTGCGGAAACAAATCAAGATGTGAAAACCAAAAGAAAAGCATCGAACCAAAACATATATGGACAATATGGAGAACGTAGAAGTGACAACAGAAAATGTGACAAAAACGAAAGATGACATTGAAAAGGGCCTACCTTCCGGACATCAGAGCTTTTGGGTTCAGTGGTCCACGTGATGATGCGTGAGACAGCCAAGCGTGTCTCGCTGGTGTTGACAAAGTCGGCCGGGTCCATCCGCCGGGCTAGCGCCTCGATGTAGCGCAGAATGGCCACCTTCACCTTCAGGTTGGGCGTCTGCGTCTGGTCCACGATGAAGCGCATCAGGATGTTGAACTGCTGTTCGTATGGGAACGAATCACTGGAGACAACAGATGGCGTTTCATCCAGCTGCACCAACTTATTACATCCAGATATTCCAAGCCCAAGTGTCTATCCACACCAAGTGACGTCCAGCGCCTTTTGAACTTTGGCCTGGACAGAGCCCAGGAGGTCAGCACCCATTTTCTTCAGCAGCTGGGTGAGGAGCATGAAAAGCCAGTCGAGCAGGTCTTCCCGGTGCAGAACTATGAAGTCCACCAGAGTCTCCAGGAACATGCTGAAGACCTGAGAGCAACATGTTACAAGACAAGAGCAGCATTTGACATCATGGCGTGCAGTAACTGACAGTGACTGTGTTTGGTGAAGACCAGCAAACACTTACTCTCTGGTGTGTGTTAGAGTCCACACAAGCGAGGAGCCGTGCAACATAAAATGACAGTTAGTTGCCCTTCAGTTAGTTGTTAAACGTGATGCTACTGTTATTGGCATGGAGGCTGTGTTTAATGTGTGTTACCTTGCTGTGGGGATCTGCAAACATCCTGGTGAAGATCTCACAGAGTCTCTTCAACTCTACGCGGCTGAGACATAAACAAAAACGGGTTTGGGTTCATCGTATAAAATACTAACTCCCAGCCACGTTAATGTGCCGTGAGATGGTCAGGGTTGCCACGGGAAATTATCCAATTTCACTCAGATGGTCCGAGAATGATTTATTTCTGACAAAACAGCATATCTTTGGTCATCCCTCTATGCCAGCAATGTACAGTGACTGGCAGAACAACGAAATGCTCCTTAACTAGACGGCAGTAGGAACTTGCATGATATCGTCCATCAACTGTTACGATTCATATAACAGAATAACAGCATTACCTTCAACTAAACAGGGTACCTGAGTAAGTATTTGTGACGACATTTTGACAAGATCATCACTATTTCAGGATATTCAATACTTTTAATGACATTTTGGGGGGGAGGGGGTGGTGTGCCATGAGATTTTTCGAAAATAAAAAGAATCAATAGATCAAAGCCTCGGTTCACTAAAGGTTGGAAAACATTGGCATAAAGTGGCGTGCGTTGGTTTGAAGATGCGCTCAGGAGACAGATTGGGTATGATGTTACTAACCTAAGCATTCTGTGGCTCCTCAGCACGTTCTGCAGCCCCAGCAGCCCCTCCTTTCTCTCTGACCAGTTGGTGCTGGCACAGTGGTTGAGTATTTCAGCCACATCCTCCGTGTGACGCACAGCGCCATTGCGCGAGCTGTACGAGCGTTCCGAACAGGCACTAGAGGCATCGCTGTTTGCATCATCATCAGAGAACATACCCGGCGATTCAAAGTGCCGCCGCACCGAACGCTGCTGGAGAAAGAAGAGTCGCAGTTTGGTACTGACGTCTGCTATGAGCGTCGTCTTACTACTCTCACGGCGACATGCGGTGAATCAAGACATATTGGCAGCAATATGATTATGATAAGATGTTAGCATCAAAGGTACACATGCTTAATCATCATACACCATCAGATGACGACTGTGTGTAAAAACATTAAGTCAGTCAGTCACATGTATATAATATGATAAATATGATATGATCGATGATAAAATTTCATGCTCATGCTGACACAAAACACATCAGCATCAGTACCTTACTCCTCGAGTCCCCTAAGAGCTGAAATGTACAAAGTCCAGGAGGAAGAAAATAAATGCTACGATTCACAACATATCAATTTCAGGATGCAGCACATTGTTGCACCTCCTTCTCACCAGAGCATCAGCAACAGCCGCCTCCACCTCAGTGCCTGTGTTGAGGATCCTCATGGCATTGACGGAGGCCGAAATTCGAGCCTGGTGAGACAGACGGTCTGACACAGAGAATGTAAAATGTCACAAAGTGCAAGGCAGGGCATGCCGACACAGTTCATGAAGACAAATTTGTCTTTCAGAGAATCACTGGTTTCAACTTCTTTTTTTTTCATTGGACTCATGTTCAATCAATTAAACATGCTGATTAATCATGTGAATGAATGCAAAAGGTTTTCAGGCAGTTGGCTCTTTCGTTGCATTTTTCACAAGAAAATGTGAAACTGAATACATATGATGAAATTTAAGGTGAGAAGTCCTGCATCAAGGGCGATGTTGCTATTACACCAGCAAACCAAATGATATTGTGTTCTAATTAACAAGTCATCCTTGATGGAATAAATCAGCCAGTTGGAATAAACCAAATGGCATGTACAGGAAGTGCATCTGGCTGGCAGAGATGACATGCGACAAGGCGCTGGTCGACCAGCAGTGCCAGCAAATCTCAAGAGAGGATTGGGGATTATCACCATGGTTAGCCGACAATTGTCTGACCCTTTTCTTTTGATTTTTCCAACCAATTTGTCGTAGTTTCAATATTGCACACACTGAAGCAGAAGATGAGATCAGAACCGGAGAATGCAGGAAAGAAATCAACAGGGGAAAAACAAGAGAGTGTTCCGGAAAGAGTTGGAAAGAACGTGAATATTTGATTTGTTGATGACTTCAGTCAGGCCGATGGCCTGGGTCACCAATGTGAGGGCTTTGGTACCATACTCACCCAGGGGGGAGAAACCCCTGGAGGGACTGGTGTCACGGCTGCTCTCGCGACTGGTTTCGCGGCTGCAGCCCTGACTCATACTGGGACGAGGGATGCGGCTCCGTGCTGGAGTGGTGAAAAACAGACAGACGGACAGACAGACAGCAGCGCAGGGCAAGAGTTTAGCCGCAAGCTTCAGCTCTTAGCAGGATCAGCTATGCAGGAGCATTAGTCATGCAAGACAGGAAAGAGAGGGTTAATTGGAGGGAAAGGAACAACGACATTGTGTTCAAGTTTCTGCATGTCTCTTGCCCTTAACAAGAAACAATCTAACTACACTAGCATCTGATGAGTCAAAGAGTCCAAGGAATTTTCGTGGATTATGGATTTTGGACTGAGATAACAGACTCCATTTCCAGGCCGTCCTGTTGGTCAGCAGTCCTTACCAGGGCCAGATCTGGTGGGGCTGGTTTCTCGGCTACAGCCCTGGCTGCGGTGGCCTCGCGGGCGCCGACTGTTGCTCAGACTGCTGCTGGCGGCAGTGGTGGCATTGCCCACAGGTAACCTGACCATCCTGCCGTGGGGAGAGCCAAGCATTCGGCCTGGGGAACCTGACCTGCTACCGGCTGAAACGCACACAAAGTTCCGATAAAAGACAAGCGAACAGTGTGGTTGTCTCATTCAAGCTTCCTTACGTTGAGACTGCGAAACGACGACCTTCCCTTTGCTGCGTCCCCGACCGTCAGGCACTGACGGACGCTTTCCTGTGCTCGTCCTCTGCGTTCGAACGCGACCTAGAAAGCCATTAAGAGAATATTGAGACCTGGAAAACAATTTTTTTTCCTTGCCACACTCTGCTATTTTCTTTACATATAATCGGAATGCTTGAAAGCCGAGCTGCTAAACTTTCTCAAATAATCTTAACATTTCTCTCCTGGAGGACAAACACTGTACAGATTGAAGGTCAGCTGTGCAGTGTACAGTACATTTGTTGGCCCGCGGCATGAATACGTGCATATCAACATTGGTCCTGTGCACAAACAATATTAAAAATCTCATCCTGAAGTGTGTGTATGCATCACACACTGGTGACCACTGACACCTTCACTATACTGATGAGTGTAAAAGACACTGTGGGGAAGACAGATGGATGAGCATCACCCTCCAGACGCATCTATCTTACCATCTGCTTTAACATAAAAGCCGTCTGACCGGTAAGAGATTCCAGGAGAGACACAAGAGGTTAAAGGTCATGACTCGGCAGGCAGACTGGAAGAGCGGCTGGGATTCAATTGCGTCACCTTATTAGATCATAAACACGTGGTGCCACTCACCGAGTGAAGCATACGATCCAGGAGGCAGAGCCGAGGCGGAGCTAAAGGACGAAGTCGAAGTTTGCACTGCTGAGGCCACAGTGGGCATCCGAGTGCGGGCGGTGGCTGCCGCATTGACGTCCACGTCGCTGCAAGAACGCTGTAGGGTGCCGGGAGAGGAGGTGCCAGTGGGGGGTCTGGAGGTTTGGGCCGCTTTGGCTAAGAAAAGGTTATAGGGAAAGAAAAAAATGCCAAACTACTTTATGTGGGCTGCAAAAGATGCAAATTGTATATTTTGAACCACTAAACAGATTCATATCCATGAAATACATATTCATTAATGCAGTGATTCTCAACCACAACGTCATGGCACCTTAGTGTGCCGTGACAGATCATCTCGGGGTGCCGTGGGAAAATCCCTTATTTGCCTTAATTTGTCCGAAAATGTTTTTTGCCCATCTTTCTATGCCAGATACATGTAGAGATGGGCAGAATAATGACATAATCTTCCAAGAGATGGCAGAAATGTATCCACCTGCACTCCTTCACACTACAGAATAAATGATGGCCTCCTGTGAGTATCTCAGCTTTGTGTTCAATTAAACCGGCCCAGATTTCACAGTGAGTACGTCCGTTTGTGAGTAAATTGAGACAAAATCATCATTACTTCAGGACTCATTTTTCGAAATGTTTTATTGGGTGGTGTGCCATGATGCAGTCACTAGGGGACATGTTTTAACAACCATGACTTATAAGTGGGTTTTCAAGCAAGACTGTATTTACTTTGAAACTATCAAAGAAATGTTCTGGCCAAGGCAAATGCAATTCATGTGAATTTGATATAATCAAGTAAATTGGTGTTTCAAGGAGGATTGTGTAAACTAATCTTTGCAAAGTGAATCCATCCACTTTAATCCATGCCAGTACTACAAAAACAAACACGAAGCAAAGTTTGCCAACCACAACCAACAAAAGCTAGTCATCAACTATCTTGATGGTGTCATGAGGGGGATTTCTGAATGTGAAAAATTCCATTTGCTATAAATTAAACTTTAGACATTTATTTACCGATTTACCACCACTTTCAAATCTTGTTTCTTTCATTGATTTGTTACTCAAATCAACAACTAACAGGGGTAAATTTGGGTGATTATAACGAGGAGAAGATCCAATTAAATATTTAAACGGTTACAGTCGTCACTGAGAGGGCTGATATGATCAGGCTGCCCCCTAAACTCAAGCTGCGCAGCACCGTTTGCACAACCTTTAGACTCTGACATCACACGTTGTCCTGATCCTCAAGTTGTTTTAAGGAAACATGAACACTTTTGCATGGCTCAGTCTCTGTAGCTAGCAATTTGAAGTAAACTCCAGTCATACCTCGGTTTTCGACCATAATCCGTTCCAGAAGGCTGTTCGAAAACCGATTTGTTCAAAAACCGAAACAACGCTCTTTTTTTAAAAAAAAAAAATCTTTATTGAACACGTCTGCTCACAATGGAACGCTACACAAGGAAGTCTTACTTCCTCATGTAAGGAAGGTGAGAGGAGTCAAGTGGCGCATTCAAGTGCGCTCAGTTTGGTTGAGAACCAATTTTCGGTCGTAATCCGAGGCATAAAAAACGCGAAATTTTTGGCCGAAAACCGATTTGGTCGAGAACAGAGATGTTCGAAAACCGAGGTTTGACTGTAGTTTGTAAAACAACAAATGTATGTGTTCTTACATCTGGTCACGCTTCTTCCAGTGGTGCCTCTTGTCGACAAAGTTCGACTGTAAACAGCAACAGCAAAGGAAAATGAACAATGTAAAATGGGACAAAAGGAAAGGGTTGCGTTGAATTGAACTTTCAAGAGTCTTACTTCAGGCTCTCCTGTGAAGAGGACGATGAATGATCAGATGGCGGAAGTGACATCAAAGTATCCCCGCTTCGCAGGTGAGCCTGGAGAGCTTTTTGATAGGACGACTCCAAGCACTGGAACAGCTGCTCCGCCTCCTGACTGAAGTGGCTGTGGAAGTTCCAGTAACACCTGCGGGGACACCACCGATCCTCATATTGGGACTCCCGTTCAACATTGTCGAAAACAACAAGCAGCTTTCCACACTTACTTCCTGGCCACAGACCGCACCTCAGCATCTGCATCATGAATGCCTTTCTTTATAGTTTCCATTAAAACAGCTACATGCCTGCCAGGGAGCATATTAAGACATTAACTGTGTGTCTCTCTCTCTCTCTCTCTCTCTCTCTCTCTCTCGCTCTCTCGCTCTCTCTCTCACACGCGCACACGCACACGCAAACGCACACACACACACACACACACAGACTTGATAACCCGAGAGCTCCCCTGGTATCGAGGTTTAGCTAGCTCATGTTTCCCCTAAGCGGCAGTGATGGCAGCAGCCATGCAGAAACACAATGTGTCTTTTACAGAGGCAGCTACCCTCCCCCACCCTCACCACATGAAGCCTGCCAGGCTCGTGTCATGTTACCTTGATAGAATAATCCCCAGCCAATGTCACCACTTTCACCCGGTGGAATTGTCACTCCTACTGCTCATTCTACAGCTGGTATTACTGCAGGAATGCAACTAATGATTATTAAGAATGGATTAGTCTGGAGATTTTTTTTCTTCACTAAATTTTACCCCCCTCCTCCCCCCATAAAAACAATTAGGAAATATTAAAATTGCCATTCCTTTATTAAAAAACAGGACACTATTTCAAGTTAACAGTGGAGAAGATATGCAATCAAAGTGAGTATGATTCAGTTTCTGGTTTAGTTTGTAACATGTGAGCAAATGGGCAAAAACGTTTGACCATCGTACAGTAAAAGCAGATGTTTTGCAAATGTCTGATTTTTCTTAAAAGACAATCAGACTGCTTTAAAGTGAAACGACAGAAATCTGAATACTTACTCTTGAGAGGCTGATATTCCAAAGATTTGGATAGTTGGCTGCATGATTGATAAGTTAAACAAGGAGTCCAAACGATTAACTGACTATCAATATAGTTATATATATCATTTGAGAATCAATTAGTCCCCCATTAATTGTTACACCGGCATTTCGATCACTGAGCAAGCTTCCCATCATCTGCGTTCTTTTCTCATCAGGTATTTGCCATGTTTTCTGACCTTTCCAGGGAGTTGGTGTGCCACTCCTTCAGTTGCAGGTCCAAGAACTCATAGCATCGCCTGCACGTCACGGAAAAACAAACATTGAAACCATATTTATGTACAATTGATTCTATTCTGTCATTTAAAAATAATATATAAAAACTTCAAAATGGACACAGACAGCCTTTCTCACCTGAATAGGTCCCATAAAAAAAAGTCAGTCATAGTTATTGCTCACCTTCTGACAGCCACAGACTTAGAAATGCAGTTGCTGGTGATGATCGGGATCAAGCGAGGGTAGTGTGTATGCTGCAAAACGCACACACACACAGACAGACACACAGTGCATTGGTGCACTCATTCCGAGAAAAACTACATTGTCAAAAAGTGGTGACGTACTCTTAGGATGAGGCGGATGGCAGCCACACCGGAGGTGGCCATGATTTTGGCACTATTGGGGACCAGGTTCAGGAGGCTCGGCATGACTGCCTCCGCGGCATGATCAAAACGGGTTCCGAGCACTGAGGACAGGTGTCTGCAGACGACAGATCCAATCAAACATGCAATTCAACAACAACATAAACAACTTTGACTTGCCTGAAGATGTGAAATGGTGACATTTTTTGTCAAGTACGTGACCAATACAGAGACTGGCCTTACCCCAGAGTGATACAGGCTTCCCGAACCACCTGAGAACGCAGGTCTTTGGCTGACAATCTGAATGCTGATTCCAGGAGCCGCAGCTGCTGCAGGAAGCCGTCAAACTCTGCTGCTCCAGCCAACAGCAGCGAGCGCACCTTCTTCAGCTGAAAGGGCCCGATTAGCAAGGACAAGGCACAGCCAAAGGACAGTCAGTGACATCAATTCCAGAGATGACATCAATTCCAGAGATGACATCTTACTGCTGCAACTCGGAGTTCCCAGTCACGCTTGTCATCTGAGAGAACGTCACGAATCTTGGCCATGGCCTCCTCCACCTCCCTGTTGGAGTAGATCTGATGGAGGAAATAAGGACATGCAGTCAGCTGACCATGTGACAGACAGCCACGGTGAGTCTTGACTCAAATGAATGAACCTGCATAGTGGGAACATCCTCGAAGGCCTGCATGAAGTCATCCTCATCCACCGCGCCAGCAGTGGACCCATCTCTCCCTGCGGACCACAAAATGACAGTTGACATGGTGACCTTAAAGATTTTTGTCTCAGTGGCTGGCTTGATGGCTCTGACCTGCTGACTTGGCGCTGGAGACGGGGCGTCGGAATGAACCCACAACAGTCTTCCTCCCAACCAACAACTCTGCTTTGGACGAGGATGAAGAGCAGCCACCATCCACTGAATCGCCATCCTCTGAGTTTTTATCTGGGCCAGGCGGGAAAGGTGAAGTCACATGGGGAAACAACAGGGGATCAGTGAGCTGGGAGACAGAACTGTGGCGTGGGCAGGCGCGCTGCCATATCTGCATTTCAAATTAAAAATGGGCACATGGCAGAGGACAAACACATTCTTGCAGCTACAACACAACAACACCCACATCACAACAATCACTCTAGTCTCACTGTTGATGACATCAACACTTTTGCAGGACGGACGAAAAAAAGGCGAACAAAAGTCAGCAAAGACAAGCTATTTTTGTTGCGTCTGGACGTCCCCATGTGATCTTCAGCATGGAACCCCGCCCGGCATGCAACAAATATCTTTACATTGTTCAAAGTTCACACACAAGCACACCGCTGCTGTGATTACATTCCTCCTTGTAATGTCAGTCAGAGCACAAGGTGGGGAGGCTCCTCCCCTGGTGTGTGAAGCCACACAATACAGCACATAACGCGAAAGAAAAATCAACCACAGTACTTTGCTTTATCTGTAAGAGTCAGGCTGCTAGGCTTCCTCTGCGTTGACCCTTTATAGTCTATCACACCCTCCACTCTCCATCATTGAAAATGTGCCTCTGTTCGCTCCCGCCCTGAATCAAGAGGAAGAGCTCACAGGAACAGATCCGCCTGCAGACCAATTTCCTCAGCATGCCGACAGTCAGGTGATCTGGCAGTCTTCCGCGATCCTCTCATCTCTGGGTGGGAACTGGAGTCAACCAGCTAGCATGCTCCCCCCTCTCATATTGAGGTAAAATAGTAGACCACACGCTGCCTTCTTGCCGACTTCAGCAAACACACACAGCACCAGCACCATCAGGATGGAGAGAGCAGGAAGTGTGGGTGGGGACAATGGGATCTGCATGAATGATAGAATCACTTGTGGGTGGAGCCGAAATGAGGGACAGCCATTGTGTGTGAACCTCAGGCAAGGAGGAGGAGGATGGAGAGAGAGAGAGTGTGTGTCAGAAGAGCAAGCCATCAAGCAGCTCTCATCATACACTGCAAAATGCTATTGTGGTGACAAAGAAAATAAAGTCCCAGAAGTGTTACAAAATCTCTCTCTCTCTCTCTCTCTCTGAGAGAGAGAGAGAGAGAGACAGAGGGCAAACATCAACGCCCTCAATTTCACACAGAGAGCCAGCAAGGGTAGCTGTCACCAAGCTGTTTCACCAGTTAGCAAATAGCAACAAGTCACTCCTTCTTGTTGAACCCCCACCACTAAACAAGCTGTAAGGAGCATCATCACCAACTCGTGTGACAGACGCTGACGTAGTTTGTCCAAAAATGTTGGCTAGATGTCATTTCTTTTTTTGCCACCTCCTCAGTCCTCAGTTATCATTTCTCTCTTCATGTTAGCAGCTCCATGTGGCCCTATCGACAAATCATGAGAACACAGTAGAGACGGTCGCTCTTCAGTGTCGTCATTTCACAGGCACATCATTTAAAAGTTTTCTCATGTCAACGACATGTGTCACAAAATCCATCATCTACAGAGTTGAATTATTATGGCAAGCACACATGTCCACTTTATGTTTTCCCGTGAAATGAAAATAAACTCAAATATAAACAACACTACTTCACAACTCCAAATGTAAGTGTGAATGCCCAGCACCTTACTACCTACCCCAACACAGCTATCGCTAAAAGCGTCGCACGGCATATTTGTATTGAGCCAGTGTAATTAAGTAATTTCAGTATCAAATACTGCTCAAAATGAAAAAAGACTGAGCAGAATACGCAGAGCAAAATTGAAATAATCAAAGAATGACAAACTAATAGATTAACAGTGCACATTTAAGACCAGTGAGGTGTCCCTGAACATGGTGGCGTGATAGCAATTATTGGCTTGAAGCACCAAAGAGCCAGAAGCTAGCGTTGTAATTTAGAGAAAAAAAAATGGTACTTCACTCAGAAGTGTGACAAAATGGAGAGAACAAACAATGCTGCTGAATTCACTACAACATGGAAACACTGTCATAGTTGTAGACTATGTGGTGAATTAAACCCAACCTGTAAATGTCGGTTCACATTTCTAAAACGGGACTTCAAATTAACAAATTGTACTCAACAAACGACACTGCGATGCAACGGAATCAAGAGGATGAATAATATGAGGAGCGTGATGACACGTTATCAGACCCAACGAGCAAAAAAAACAAACAAACAAAAAAAAAAAACCTGCACATATAGGACCCGATTATTTAATCCTACCTGACACAGGTGACAGGACCATGTTCCCCGACCTCTGGACCTCATCAAATTTACTGAAGATGACATTCAACCTGGAAAAAGGTGATGTGCATGTTAACTGGCCAACGTGTGAATCCATTGAGTGAATCATTGGTATTTGGTGTACGTAGCTCAGCGCACCTTGACTGAGGTAGGCCCTTCTTTCCAAGGTCAATCCGTACTCGCTCACCGACGTGGCGGTAGATCTCAACCAGACAGCTCATGGCACCATCACGCACCTTCCAAATAATTTCACAAATTATTATTCATAAAATGATGTCACACTGCTTCGTTGATTAGAGCAATGGGAAGCTTCTGCTAATCTGCAATAAACTTCCCCTGTTGCACAGAAAAACTCTTTAGGAAAGGAAACACAAACAGAGTAGCCATACAGGGCAGGTTTATACAATAATAAGAAGAAGAATCTGCAATAAAATAACTTTTTTAGAGGGCAATAAATCACAGATGTAATGCTTTCAGAGGAACGGAATGTGGTACCTGACTTGTGGGATCTCCCAGGAGGTTACAAATGTGAGGAACTATTTTGCTGAGAGTCAGGCTCTGCGAGCCAAACCTGAAAATGACCGTATACATTTGATACATGAGAAATGAAAGGCATTGACCCTTTTTTATTTATTTATTTTTTTATTTTAAATGTTGACTCAGGCACCCAAGTAATCCAACGGTAAAAGATATAATAATAGAAATACAGTCAAACCTCGGTTTTCGAACGTCTCGGTTCTCGGCCAATTCGGTTTTCGACCAAAACTTTCGAGTTTTTTATGTCTCGGGTGACGAACAAATTTCGGTTCTCGAACAAACTGAGCGCACTTGAATGCAACATTTGACTCCTCTCGCCTTCCTTGCACGAGGAAGTGACGCTTCCTCGGGTAGACGAGGAAGTGACGCTTCCTCGTGTTGCTTTCCATTGTGAGCAGACGTGTTCAGTAAACATTTTTATTTTAAAAAGAGCGTGGTTTCGGTTTTCGAACAGCCTTCTGGAACGGATTATGGACGAAAACCGAGGTTTGACTCTATAGTATAAAAATAGAAGCATTAACATGATTGATAGAATTAAAACTTTTTTTAACGCCATTGAATTTGGAACCGATTTTTCAAATTGTGTAATTTTGTAAACTGAATTAATCAGAAACGGTTAGGATAGCGAGAACTTCTTTGTTCACAAATGATTTCTTTCAAGTGCATCATGATGTGAGCTTACACATTTAAGGTTGAGATGAGACAAAGGCAGAGTCCTTCTCGCGTGCGGTTGTTCTTATGTTTGAAGCCTCCCATCATGCGCTCCCAAACATACTGATCAGGCAGAAATAAATGAGTTCATCTTGCAATAGAATCACAGTTGACATTGTACTATGTGCACGCAAATGTTTTTTTTCTCACCTGTGGGTTGGCAGCCTGGTCCATGATCTTAAGTAGAAGTGCTTGGTCCTGGTCGCGCACTTGATCCTTGGCGTCTCCCAGACGATCGATTAAACTTGGAAGAACTGAAAAAAGAAAAATATTCCCCGGGATTTGTATTTTGAAATCTAAAATTTAAAATGTAAAAGAAGCCTGACGCTTCACTGTCAAAAGGCTCACCTGTTCCAACCTGCGTCCTGAATTTTTCCTGCAGCCTGCTAACTAATGCGGACAGAAGGTCCATCCCCAACAGCACCACCTAAAACACACAAATTGAAAAAATAAAATCAAACAATTAGAGTGTGTACAACTGCTGTAAATGGTTAGACTACATAAAAGTCAAAACTATCTGCCATTTATCCGATTATTTTGGCCGATGTTTGAAGGGCCATAATCGGTCAGACAATTAAATGGTCGAGGTATACAGCACAGTCCACCCTCGACTGGTCGCCACTCAATCGCAGGTATAGAAAAACGAATATTCACACTCATATTCACACCATTGGACAATTTTGAGTCCTTCCGAGATTGTTTTGGGCATTTAGGAGGAAGGAAGGAAGCATGAGGAGAGCATGCAAACTCCAAAAAGAGATCTCAGGAACCACTATTCCACCTAGTGCCCATAATAATAATGGTGATTAATAATTACATTATTAGTAGCATTATTATTATCATTATTATTACTATTATTATTATTATTGGTGGTGTTGTTGTCATAGGACTAGTCGTAGTAGTAGTAGTAGTAGTAGTAGTAGTGGTAATAGTGGTAGTAGGAGTGATGGTTGTGGTATAGATGCAGGTTTTTTTTTTGGGGGGGGTTGTTTTTTTTTTTTTTTTGCCTTAGCCAAACAACAAATTATAGTTGTATCACTATCCTGTAATTGTAAAACATTGAACAAAACTCTGCATGCTACATTTAGCCCGTAAAGATAGACATTATGAACTTTTGTCCACTTTGGTTATCATTACATTATCCATCTATAGGGAAAATTCACTATTTTTTTTAACATATCTTTGTTTGTACAGCTATTTTCAACTATTTTACTGTATATTATTCTCGTGTTCAGTCTTTTTTTTTTTTACTTTTTGGCATCGTAAACCCATTGCATAAAATGAAACGACTGTACTACCACTAGAGGGCAGAAGAACAAAGCAGATGAAACCTGCACAGCATTGTGGGTAATCTTATAAAACCTGGAGTTTTGTAACGGTGGAAAGCACAAAAATCGCTATTTTTTCTTAAAAGCACAACATCATTGCTCGTCGTTGGGCTTGTAAGCAAAAAAAAGTCAAGTAAAAAAAAAAAAAAAAAAAAAAAAAAAAAAAGACTGAACTTGACGTTCCACAAAACCGTGAGTGACTTCTCTATCCACATTGCATTAGTTTCCTGCACTGCCACGGAACGCGTATCTATCCTCGTCATGGGGTGACTGGGATGTTCAATGAGCGTGTAGCGAGAGCGTCCCTGCTGACACCATAACAACACGTTCGCATCACCCGAGTCCTAGACTTGGTAACTGGTGCAATTTTTGGAACCCCTTCTCGGAATTTTCACGAAAATGACAAAAAAAATAGGAACGATGCGCTACGTTCAGCTGATTGCAAACAATACGATGAACAAAGCCGTGTGGGCACTGTAGATCTTTGAACAACTCGTTAAGTCTAATGACCATTTAAAACCTCAGACAGCTGAGCGCAATCTTTGCAGAAACACGTTGAAACAAAATGAAGTGCTATTGTGTTTCCATGCTCCTCAAATGTGGAACAAACAAATTCCCTGAACTTGGCTGTCGCCACATTTAAATCCGGTTTAAAAACGTTGATCACTGCTGTTTATGAAAATAGCAGTCCAGCATCTTAAATTCATTTGCATTCACTTGTCAGATACCATTTTATGATAGGGGTTGTCTTGATTTTTTTTTAAATTGAATCTGTTTTAAATTTTTTTGCCCCTGTGAAGCACTTTGGATTTGCATTCTGTATAAATAAAAATAAACTTAGCTTGCATGTAGCGACCATTATGGGGAAAAAAATGCAACTTATGTGTTGATTCTATAGGCAGGAAGGAAAGGGAGAGACAATTTCTTAGAAGTGTAAAAAGTGTGACAAGGCATGCAAGAATGATGGAACTAAGCACTCTGACATGTCTTAGAAAGTGTAAGAAGTTCTTAACAGCTATCAGAACTAGATAAACACCCGCGCATGTGGTGAGTTCCTAATTTTGCTTGTGTGGAGCTGGAAAGGGGACAAGGCTCTGGTGGTTGTGAGCTTAATTTATCACCACCATTAGCCCAAATTCAGAGCCTCAGTGTGTGACTCGTGGTTCATCGTTGTATTCGTGAATATTATAGATCAGTGGTGCCACTGCGGATGATCCTATTTTACTTTACTGATCTGAAAAGGATTATTTACTCACTACAAATAATGGATCTTTCTTGCCAGCCATGTACAATGACAGGCTGATCAATGAAATACTCTCCCGGTACAAGGCACAAGGGATAAAATTCTGCAGTGGATCCACTTGTTGTGGCATTTTTGTGGGGGTGTATGTCATGAGATATTGCTCATGTCAAATAAGTACCTTTGCTCAATAAAGGTTGGGAAATGTAACAAAATACAGAATCTGGATGTGTGTGTGAGCATGCGAGTAAATTCAAATGACACTAAGTGTGAAAAACTGACCTTAAAGTGACTGGAGTTGACCCAGGAGCTGGCCAGCGCTTCCACCATCCTGTCCAGGGTCCCCTGGTCCTGCTCAAGCTGTGGACATTTGTCCTGCAGGATAAGTTCCACTATCTCCTGGCCTGCCTGCAGCCTCTTGCTCAGGTCCTTGAGCATCACCTGCTCAAGCAAATACGCTGTGGCCATCACCTCCTCCTCCTCGTCAGCCATTGGAGGGGAATCGATGAGCACACACAAACTTCCACCAAGCTCCTCTTCCCACGTTCAGTCCAACAAAGGCCTGATAGTTGACAAGTCTCTTGGTTGTGTTTTTAAGCCCGTTACGGTTTTAAGGAGGCAGCTGGCGTTCCTGGCAGAGTCCCTGTGAGCGCCATAATCCCCCACTTGACGGTCCAATTACTTCTCTTGTGTGAACCTGCTTGAGCAGAGAAAAAAACTGCATCAACTAGGTAAATTTACCAAATTTAAGTTGATGTTTTAAGTCATGATAGGATCTTTCAAAGATGATTGTTGAAAATAAAATAAATACATGGGCAATTGACATCTGTTCAGAATATCCATAAATTTAAACTTCATATTTCAGTTGTTTTTCATAAAATCAAATAGTGTTTTTATATATTGTTATAGTGTGTGTGTGTGTGTGTGTGTGTGTGTGTGTGTGTGTGAGAGAGAGATTTTAAATGTATTTTGTCAATTTCTGTTTTCATTCCTCCTTTTATGTTTTAGTTTCTTTTAATTTCAATATGTAAATGTACTGTAATCTTGTTTTTTATTTCTTTGCCTTTGTAAAGCGTTATGAATATGCTTTGTATGAGAATACTGCAAATTTTGTTTTATATATATATATGTATATATATATATAAACTTCACTTGACTGTTTCTAACTTTCGGGGTTAATACATTAATTATTTTCGGGGTAAACTTCGTAAACTACTTGCGCCGCCGTTAGATGTCTCGGACAGTTTGTTTAGCTGCTAGCTTCCCCGCTAGCACAGCAGCTAAACACTGTAAGCAGCCTTGGATCTTAAGTGGCGCAAGCTTGCGTTAGCTTAGTTACATTTCAGGCGAGTCTGCTGCATGAGCCGTCACGTCCCGTCAATATGCTGTAGCATGTACATGAATTTTAAATGAATACAGCAGCACTCTGGAAATTCACTCACTCACCGGATGGACCAAAATCCGAAGTGGCGACGCCGCTGAAGGATACCGCTTCCGTTCATTCAAATCGCAGCCCGACACATCTTCTAATTAATAACCCCCGAAAAAATCGACCTCTGTGATGTCTCTTTGACCCTTATTATTTGGTAGTTAACGGAATTCAAACGCAACACAATTTGCATTTGCATGGCAAAAAAAATTTGGCCCGCATCGTGTGCCGTAGGGAAAGAAGCTCGCAAGGCTGCTGAAGGGCGACATCTGCTGGCAAGATTTGGCCAGCGATGTGGGCCGTCCATCTGTCGAACCTTTTTTTGAGGGAAGGGACCTTTCACACGGACGTCAGACGCACTTCCGCGTATACTGTATTGGCTTCTTTCCATAAATAAAAACAGTTCAGCCCACTCAATGCTAAATTGTGCAGTAGTTGAATATGAATTGTTGTTATCTACATGTGTCCTGTGCTTGGCAAGCCATACGTGTAGGTGGTCTCTCCCAAAGTTAGTTAAGATTGGCTCCAGCTCACTCGTGACATTAATTAATGAGATTCAACTTCATAGAGACATGATGGATCGATCATATCTTGCTCAATGTCATGGCAGGGACGGGCACTTATCCCACCCGATTTAGTGTGAAAACTGGACTTTTTCCTCCCAGGGCTGTTGCCAGACCATTCCGGGTAAATTGTCAATGGGCCATTGAGTGAGGATTGATTCCACACCAAGTTAGCAATGTGAACCACTACACCACCAATGACTTGATGCATAGACAAACTGATTAGGATGTGGATGTGTGGTTACTGAAAGTGAAAGAATTGATTGGTGAGTCATTGGATGATGTATGCGAGCATGTGCAAATCAGTGGGCCGATGGAAAGATGAATATGTATATGTGACTGGGTGGGTGGGTTTTCTGTCAGATCCAGGTTCTCCGACACAAATTGGGCTGTTACATGTCACCGTCAAGAGATCTAATTTTCATTCTTGGAGCCTGTCATGTCCCACCTGGCCCGCAAATGGCCACAAAAATAATTCATTTTATCGTTAACGGGAAAGTGGAGCGAGCAGAGTTTGGAGCAGACTGCACGGCTGAAGATGTTAAAGGTAAGAGGGAGGACTTTAATTACAGTCCAATCACACCATTTCATACAATTATGTCTCATTTTCTTAAAAATAAATGTGTTTGAATGAAAGTGTCAAGAAAGACTAGAATGTTATGTATGAACCACAAGTGGGATAAACATCAGTAATGTATGGAAGGACTTGAACTCCATGTGGTGGTGACAGGTCCTCAGGAGAAAGAGCTTCATTCTTAGTGACACAGAAGCCAATCATGCACCAACCAGCCCCTCCAACTAACTTTAACCAACCACAGAATTGGCAGATTTTATGTTAAAGCAAAAAATGTGATACTGAATTTTGTATCCTACTAACTTGGAATTTAGCATGGTTGCAGATATGAAGCTGCTCGTACTTGCCTGTCATCTATAATGACTGCTGCAATGTGGCAGACCTGTTCCGTGCAGCAGCACAGGCCTCTCCTCATCACATCCTGAAGCTGTACAAATCAAACGGCAGTGTGGTGAATATCTCGCCCATGCTGGAGTCCAACAGCCAGGACTCATACTACCAGCTGGAAGTGGTGGCATCTGACCTTCAGAGTGAGTGGTAACTTCTGCAGTGGGACCAACATCCATTCTGTCTTCAGCAACCTTCGTTTGTAACCACTGTTCGATACAGCTTTTATCATCTCTACGATCTTCAAACCGAGCATTCGGCTGTACATCTTTCATATAGACGCCTCACAAAAATTTAGGGATACTAGGCTATGAGGCAGAAATTCAGGATAACCCAACCATGCACTATAACCTTCATAGGTGAACCGAATTTTACTTTTTAATTTGAAACTTTTGAAAGTCCATGTCCAACTGTTCAAAAACATCAGATATGAATGTTGCGTTGCAACTCGTGTTGCAAAAATTACTGAAACACTGAGGAGTTGGACATTGGCATTAAAAAGTTTACAGAAGTTCAAATTGAGTTCACCCGTAATAGAGAGATGGGATGTTCTGCACACATCCCACTAGGAGGAGGTCCCGGGCATGACCCCAGGGCACACTGGAGAGACTATGTCTCCCGGTTGACTTGGGAACGTGTTGGAATTACCCCAGATAAGATGGATGAAGTGGCTGGGGAGAGGGAAGTCAAGGCCTGCCTGCTTAAAATGCTGCCCCACATGACCCGGCCTCGGATTAGTGGAATGGATGGTAAATGTTGAGAGTGCGTTAGTTGGGATATGTTGAAATTCCTCCGCAAGCTCAATATCCTCATCAGTTTATGAGTAGCGAATTTTATATGGAGATGTGTATTGAAGTGTACAGTCAACTAACTGTGTGTCCAAATGCAGGCATTGCTATAACGACTGATGTGGGCAACATGGAGCAGAGGTTAGTCCTTGTCAGCGGTTAATGAACCCAAGCATGAAAGTCAGTGAGAGTCTCATTTCATTTGGTGTGTGTGGCCTCAGGCTGTGTCACCTGGAGACCAAAGCCCAGGAAGATGCAGGCAAAACTCCAGAAATCATCAGTGACCTCAAGAGTCAGGTGGATTCTTTCAAGCGAAAGCTTGAGGTTTGTAATCCTGCTCAGAGTCTGCGTCTGCCTGCATGCATGAGAGCTGAAATGTTTGCCACTTGTCAGAGCATCAAGCACCTGAGCTGGATGGGTCTCTTCAGGGATGAGTGCCCCCAACAGCTTTCCAAGTTCCCACCGAAAGCCAAAGTGCCTCAGGTGAACAAGGAAGAGGAGCACCGGGAGGTTCGCAGGAAGTTCCTCAACATGAGGTGACTGATTGGGTTGCAGTTTCTAAATCACAGTGAACAACACGCATGGAAGAAAATGTTGGTGATTTGTTGAAAAATGAAAAACCCCCAGAGGACACTGAAATAACTTGAAACCTAAAAAAAAATCCTAGTGTGAGAAAATTAATTAATTTGTGTAAAAAAATAAAATTAAAAAAAAAAACTTCTTGACACAATTTCAGTAACTGTACAGCACATTTCAGCACACACATGTTCAAAATGATTTACTGTCCCTTTAGGCTCCTCAGAATACAGTAGGCCCGTGTTTGGATCAAAGTCACTTTGGGCTGTTTTAGCTGTGTGTTTTGGGTCATTGTCCTGTCAGAGCACTCATGACCTGCATTTGAGACCAAGGTTTTTCACAAGTGGAAGGAAGCACATTTGGTTCTAGAATGCCTCATGAGAGTCTTGCAACATCATTGTACCCTGCAAAGACTTGCTGTGCCGGGTGTAGAAAAGCATCCAGAGAGCCTAACTGAGCTGCCTCCATGTCTCATAGTAACTCCACTTATGTCTTTGTACAAGGGGCACAAGCAAGATTTAAGTTTCCCTTGGAAATAACCTGAAACAACCAACTAGACTGTAAATTTTCCAAAGCGCATTTGAAAAACCAATCACAAAGCTTCTGTGAGTAGCTTGTACAGATAGACAAAACTAACTTTTTGGCAAGTCATATCAGTTTTGTTTAAAGACACACATAAAAAAGTGACGCGTTAACAAAAAAAAAAAAAATTGCTACCTCAAAACCAGGCTGTCTTGAATCTTTGAAGGGTAGGATCAAATCTCAAGACTATCTCAAGCCATCCTGGAGCGAAATGTGCTACCTATAATGTCAGAAAGCTCAGTCTCAGATGCAGCTCATGGGTCCTGGATCCAATAGGATCATGACCCAAACGCAGCTAAGAACGCCCCATCTAGATCAGTTACAGAAAGTCTTGGTTGCAGCTCGCTGCAGGTGATAGAAGAAGTGAGAGAGCATCTGAAAACTCCCACTTTTGACAATTGGTGAGTGCTAACACACGCTCTGAGGGTATGCACTAGCTCCGCCCACACCCATTTGATATGCTGTTGACAGGCAATGGGAGGAGCCAGAGATGCTGGTCCTCCTCCAAATGATGTTCACCGACCTGGACTTCCTGACGGTGTTCCACTTTGAGGTGGACATCCTCCAGAACTTCCTGTTTGAGGTCTACTGCCACTACAACAACATTCCCTTCCATAACTTCCAGCACTGCTTCTGCGTCACGCAGATGGTATGACCATCAATTTCATTTATACAGCACCAATTCACAACATTTCTTTTCTCAAGCCACTTTACAGTAAACACTGAGCAGTTCAAGAACCACCATACATGCCATACTGGTTGTATGTTAGAAAACCAACATGAGCAAGCAATTGGTGATGGAGGTTATTGGAAAAGCTCCTTCAAAAGGAGAAACCTCAAAGTGAACCCAGTCCATATGGAGTGACAGTCTGCCTCGGACTGTTGGGTTGAGGTGGGGGGACAGAGTTGAGGGACAGAGGGTAGCTAGAGAGATAAAATCAGGACAGAGGGGTTAAGGCAAGGGTACCCAAGTCTGGTCCTCGACAGCCCCAATCCAGTCTGCTTTAGATGTCTCCTTCATCCAACACATTGCATGCATTCAAATGGTCAAGGTCGTTGTCATGCTTATGGAAAGTTTGCTGATGATTTGAATCTGGTGTGATGGAGGAGGGAGACATCTCAAAGGGGATGGTTAGCGGCTCTCGGTGACTGGACTTGGGCACCCCTGGGTTAAGGAATTGAGGTGGGATGAGAGAACTACAATGCGGGAGAAAGAAACAGACAGAGAAGCAAGTTCGTAACATACTACATGGATAGTGATAAGACAATAGCACACCTCTTCAACATTTGTATCCATTATTATACTCAAGTTGAGATAGGTGAGGTAAATAGTATAGAAGACAAAGAGGAAGGAAAGCTTCGCCTGATAGTCTAGGCCTACGGCAGCATAACTCAGGCAAGAACCAGGACTTCAAAATTCGGCCCTTGACTGAAAAACATGTTGCGCTGTTACTCAGATGTACGGGCTCATTTGGCTAACAGACCTCAGGAACAAGTTGGATCCGATGGACCTTCTGATCATGCTGACCTCTGCTCTGTGCCATGACCTCGACCACCCCGGCTACAGCAACGTCTATCAGGTTGCCTTGCTCCTCTTGGCTTGCTTTCCTTCTCCTGTGAGATAGTTTTCGACATCTGTGTCTGAATGTGACAGATCAACGCCCAGACCGAACTGGCCCTTCGTTACAATGACATCTCCCCGTTGGAGAACCACCACTGTGCAGTCGCCTTTAGCATCCTGGCCAAGGTGATTGCAGCCTCTTTTCAGAATCTACAACTTAAACAACTTGCTCAAATCTCATTTGCCACATCTGTGCAGGAGGACTCCAACATCCTCAAACACGTGACCACAGAACAGTACAAACACATTCGAGCAGGAATGATCAAGTAAGTGTTGACCCACGTTTTCTGTTACAACTGTTTAAATCTCGATTTGACGTCAGCATGTGTTTCCAGGTGCATTCTGGCCACCGACATGGCGAGACACAATGAAATCCTCAACAAGTTCAAGAGCATCCAGCCCGTGTTTGACTTCAGAAACAGGGATCACACGGAAGTGGTAAAGCACTGAACCTTCACACAAGAACCTCTTCTTTCTCATGGACCATTTCTACTGCTGTCATCTAGTGACACAGTGAAATAAGTCAATGTCATATAAACTACAGTTTGTCTATATTCACATTTACATGCTGGAAGTCTTGCTTTTACTTGGAAATAATTGTTTTTTTCTTCTGCGTGCAGCTGATGAAGATCATGGTGAAGGTGAGCGACATTTCCAACGAGGCCAGGCCAATGGCGGTGGCCGAGCCCTGGCTGGACTGTCTCCTGCAGGAGTTCTTCAACCAGGTTTGAAGCACAAACCGGAAGTGGTGCGATGATGTGATAGTAAAAAGCGTTCATTGTTATTGGCAGTAGATAAGGGCAGAGCCTGAAACAAAATGTGCTTGTAATTAATGCCCCCTAAAGATAGTTGTAATTTGTTCTCAATGGCACAAGATGATTTATAATTCCTTGGCGCCAAGATCACATCAGAGAGCAGAAAAGCACTGCTTTTGTCTATATGAAGCTCCTCGATTCACTTCAACATAGTTCTTTGGCATCAGGATACCAACAAAGCAGCACCTTTGTCTAAACAAAGCTCCTCAGCTGCCTTCAACAAAGTTCCTTCAAAACAAGACAGAGCACAAAAGCAGTGAAAAGATGAGATTTTCTGTACTCCACGAGTATGTGATACAAACGCGGTTTTCAACATCTGATAATTACTGGGAGTGAAAGTAGTGTGAGAGGACCTGTTTGTGCCGTGGTCATGTCTGGACTGCAGGGCGACACAGAAAAACTCAAAGGGCTTCCAGTGACTCCATTTATGGACCGCGACAAAGTGTCCAAGCCGTCCTCACAGACCAGTTTTATTCGTTTTCTCCTGTTGCCGCTCTTCACAGAGCTCACTAAGCTGTTCCCCTGTCTGGAGGTACAAATATTCTTTTATGAAATCATACATTCCAATGACAATCTGTGGCCATGTTAAGCGTTTTTGTGCACTGCCCCGTAGAAACATATTCTGGAGCCAGTGAGGCAAGCCTTGGAGTACTATTCGGACTTGGAGAGAGCCACCCAGAAGGAGGCAGCGGCCAGCAAACCCTGATGAGCAAGACATCACAATTCTGTTTTAGCAAACGTGTGACCGTAGCTCATGTTTACATAATCACACAACCCAAGTGCTTAGCATATTCAACGTCAGCTCAACATTTTATTTTCTGTAACTGCATTTACATGTTCGAACCAAAGTGCAAATGTCTGATAAACCGTTTAAATTAATTCAGGTGTCTCCAACTAAACACATGAAATCATATAAATATACATACATTACATAAATTCTCTTGGCATTTCAAGACAGGTTGTTTCAATCAACATTTACAAATGAGGAATTCTGTGTGACAGAAGGGAGCAGCTGACTCATGTTAGGTTCTTTCTCACCACAACAAAAGCATGACACAGGACTTTAAAAATGCCCTCTGTTAACTCCTGGCAAACATTTCTGTTCCCTTTGTTTTTATCCTTCACACCAATGAAATCCTACAGTTGATAGCTTAGGAAAGCGGCACGCGTGCAGTTTTCGGGTGTCCAGTGTACTTGGTGACAAGTATTAAAATAATCAGTTAAAACAAGTATAATGATCAGTTAATAGTCTCTCTAACCAACAATTCCTTTGAGCCTTAAAAAGACACGTGCACAGATAAAGCGGTACCCTAACTTACGAGTGATTCGTGACTGAGCCCGTAACTCAGTTTACTTGTTCACTGGTGCCCTAAGATACGAGTTTAGTAATTCACTGCGACTCGTTCGGGTATGTGTCGCAAAGAATTAAGAAGTTATGCCTATCTTCTATTGTCTTTTTATGTGTTGCTGCACTGTTTGTGTTCAAATAACCGTTGCTTGAAGCGTTATAATGCAACAACATAAATGTTATTTGTTAGCCCGTCTATGGCGTTTTTCATTATGTGTTCGCATTAATCTACCATTAATTTTAAATACACAACGCATAATTCTTTTAGTTTTGTTTAATTTGTCATTAAATTTCAACTGGGAGTAGCATTAAAATGCTGAAAATGTTTTACTATCTGCCAAACTGTTGCTATAGAATAGAATTGAAAACAAAACTCACAAGTCATGTCACTCATATCTCAAGGCATCGCAGGATATAAAATCATGCTTGGCCGGGTGGATGTTGTGGCATTTGCTGCCGCCATCTAGTGGTGGCCTATCTGAAGTTCATACGTACCGTAAACTAAAATAAGAAAAACAAAGGTGAAAAAAAACAAACCCCAAAACAGTGACAGATCGCAGTGTACAAAACTCACAAGTTGGTGCACTTGTAAGTCAAGGTACGACAGCATTCACAGTACAAGCTTGTCCCAAAAATGACTCACACCACGTGGACCATGTAGAGTGTCGAGGGCGGACAGTCAAAACACGTACATGGATTAGCGCACAAGTTGAGGCTGGCCTGTCCACAAATGGGAGGGGGTTTTCACAGAAGGTAAAGAGGCTAATTGAACATGATGGACTCAGGATCCTGGTTCATCATTTGCGCCATGTGACGCAGAACGTCCTTCTTGGTGATGATGCCGAGTAGACGCCTGGCGGGATGACAATCGGATAAATAAGCAGCCAATGACAGAATGAGCTTTGTGACAACTCTTGTGACGTCCCGTCTTGTCTTGTCTTGTCTTACCCGCTGCGTGTGACCAGACACTGGCGGAGGCCCAGCTTGCGGAATATGTCCACTACCGTTTCCATGGGCGTGTGGTCAGTGACGGTGAAGGGGCTCAGGTTAAGGATGCGGCGCAGCTTCAAGGGCTGCGGTGTGCTGGCCGGCAGCTGCGGCACGTCCTCGGTAAAGTACACCACTGAGCTGCTCACCACTCCATCTTGTTTTTGACGGGCATTTTCTGTGGAGAGACAACGGAGATTAAACATATGTGTTCATTTTGCCCATCCCCCCCCCCTGCATTTTAGCTGTATTAATACAATTGTAATGAACACTGATTTTGTCATTTGCAACATTTTGGCTCATGTGGCCACTTCTGGTCGATCATTGCTGTTTCCTGGATTCCATCAGACTGACAGAAATGGGATTTATTCTAGACTCAGCAGTTGAAAATGTTATTTCTGTTAATGTTCTTGACCAGATGACAACATTTATCAATTTATTACATGTAATATTAAGTTCCAGATAGGGGTTTAATGGCTATCTGCACTTCAATAGAGAAAATTAATGATTGACTGATTTACAAAAATATATTTTTGAGGTTGTTTAAAACCTGTGCATTGAAGGATTATAAAAAATAAAATAAAATGTCAAATATAAAATATTAGTACTTGTACTTGGAATCTCAAATGAAAATGAATGGATAGTTTATAGTAATGACAAGAAGTGATGTGGAAAAAAGTTACATACTAATTGTTAATATGGCCAAACTCCAAAAGACCTGAAGGTTATTAACAGTGGAACAATGTCCAGCGTTACCGTGTGCTTCCTGCCAAAGAAGAACCGAGCTGACTCACTGATGGCGAGCGTGAGGTCTCTGCGCTGCACAAAGCCGATGAGCCTCTCAGAATCTCGGGACACAACCACCGGGAAACCGTTATAATCAGTGTCTTTGATCAACATTTCCACATCCTCCACAGTGGTGGCATCCTGCGTGAGGACGGCCAGAGGCGGGTCGTTCCGACGCGGCCGCATCACGTCGGCGGCCAGTGTGCGGTGCGTGAACTCATCCCTGACATCCAGGTACGGGTAACCATTGAGCTGGATGTGCGACTCGTAGATGCCTTCTTTCCCGAAGGCGTCCGCCACCCACTTACTGGTGACAGCGGCCGCCATTAGCGGAACGATATATTCGAGACCACCGGTCAGCTCAAACATGATGACCACCAAAGACACAGTCATCCTGGTCACGCCGCCTGAAATAATGCAAGACATTGAATAAATAAGAAAGCTCCTCCCCATCTCCAGTCATTTTTTTCACTCATACACCACTAAATGAGTTCAAAGATGCTGACATGCATGTTGTCATAGGATGCCATAATACTCTGAGGAAAATCACGCAATCACGGTTCCCCAAGAAGTAGGCAAACTCCACACAGAAAGGCCGAAGCCCGGATTTGAAAAAGAGAACCTCCCTTACCTAAACAGGCGGCAGCCCCCACCATGGCGTAGAGTCCAGGTGTGACGCAGTCAGCACCAGGCCGGCACCAGTTTTTGAAGATGATCCAGTCGTGATGGTGGTATGCCATCTGCTCCACTGCGATGCCCACAATTCGCCCTGCGATGGCGCCCACTGCCATGCTGGGAATGAAGAGGCCTGACGGGATCTGGTGACATTACGATTGTCACGTCATCACGCCAGTGTTTTCACATGGCAAGTCAATTACATTTTTATTCCTATAGAGTGCAGGTTTACAACAGAGGTCTCAAGACAGTTTACACATTGATCACGTCAAGAAGCCCACTCCTCATACATTTAAGAAAACCAACCCCACGTGAGCAAGAATTTGGCAATGGAGGCAAGGAAAACCTCATTTTAAGAAAAGAATACTGTAACAAAGATACAACATTAATAGCATCAACAAAAGATGTAGCTCTGTTTACAAAGCAAAAGCAACGTGAATTGGACTGACCTTCATGCCGAAGGTGAAGATGGTGATGACAATCTTGAAGACGAGAGCGAGCACCAGCTGCCACAGAGCGTTGTAAACGCCAGGGCCAGCTGGGCGGTCTGGTATATCGTCCACAGGTCGACTCATGTTGGGGTTGTTGATGTAGTCACAGAGCTGTGACGACTCTAGTGCTCCACAATCGTTGAAGAGCTCAGAGATGAGCTCGCTGGTGCTGCGCCGGGTGTAGGGGTTGGGATAGGCCAGCACAGCAGTGATAGCAGTCACTGCGATGACCTCTAGGACCGGATACTTCCCCAGCTGGGTCGTCTTCCTCCGTCGACACCAGGCGATGTTGGCACGAATGAAGAGGGTCCCCCAAAGGCCGCCAAAGACGCCTAACAGGATGAAGGGCACCAGCTCGGCCATGTACCACGGCGTGTGGTACTCCACGTAAAACAGCACCAGGCGGCTGTTGCCAAACGGGTTGATTGACCGCAGCGTGAAAGCAGCAACTAATGCGGCAAAGAAGGAACGCCATAAAGTCTTGAGGGGGAAGTAGTAGCTGACCTGCAGGGGACAGGGAGGAAGGTGATTGGTCCAGGCAGGGGATCTCAAAACAGTTTCAGTCCGGGGATCCCTTAAAAGTAATCTTTCTTCAGATCCGCCCATGAATTCAAATGCCAACTAAACAAAGCTACCATTAGGTACCACTGAATGCCATGGACAATTTTTGAACACTTGAACCTAAAAATTCACAACCTGTATTAACTCAGCCTAACTCATGCGCTGCTAGCAAGGCTGTTACATATTCTGCACGTTTTCTGACCCCTCAGTGACTATTTTTGTATGACTAGCAACTTAAACAGACAACATAAGATGAATCATTTTCACATTGTTTTGCAGATGACAAGAAAGGAGCCCAGTGGAAAGCAACAATGACATCACTAGCTCTAAACATTAGACGTGGTGCTGACAAGTTGCAAATGCTCCGCCCAGATTGACAAGCCCCATTCTATACAACTTTAGAGAAGAGCCTGAGAGAGCTAGGAATGCTAAGGTTGTCAAATTTGTGTGAAACGTCAAAATCATATCAGAGCTTTTAAACACCTAAATCTTAAAGTAGGGAAGGGTAATTGGTTTAGTTGATGTGTTTGCTTGTTTTAATTGAGGAGGACCAAGAAGTTATGGCTAGGCAATCCCAGTTTGAGAACCACACATACATTACTGAAACATATCTCAAGCTTGTTGATGGAGGAAAATTGATGCTGCATGGTGATAACAGAACCCACCTCTTCCAGGCTGAAAAGAACCCCTCCGATGGGTGCACCGAAAGCCACCGACACGCCGGCCGCCGCTGCAGCTGATAACACCTGCACGCCCAACAAATCATGAGGTGAGCCGGCAATTCCCAGCACATCACGTGAGAGACAACAAAACGGCAAGTACTGTACCTCTCGCCGTTTGCCTTCGTTCTTGCTGTACTTGGAGAAGAGGCTGCAGAAGAGGTTCCCGCAGCAGCACGCAACATGGACCAGAGGACCCTCCTTCCCCAGGCTGAGGCCCGATGACACGGCCAGAACCAGCGTGACCGTCTTAATGAGCAGCGTCCATTTTCCCAGGTAACCACGGATGATGAAGCCACTGAGGATGGTCTT